ACCCAGTCTCATTATTTTAAGGTGCTCTGGGAATGAACGGTTGTGCATGTGTTGCTTTTTATAATGTAAGGTTAGTGCTCGCGTTTACTGTGCTCTGGTCGCTGTAGTAAAAAGGTGTACAATGCAGACCCAGTGAATTGTATACACAGACCGCCCACCGTCACAACAGTTTGCTTGCTTCCTTCTTTTCTTGCTTGCTTTTATTTTGGGGTCACACCTAGTTGTGCTCAGGGATCACTCCTGGTGGGCTTGGGGAACCATTTGGGATGCTGGGATCAAACCCGGTTGGCCACGTGTAAAGCAAGCGTTCTACTTACTGGACTATCTCTTCAGCCCGTTTCCTAAGTTTTCTTATTGAGAGTGAATGATTGCTTTCTAAGCAACTTATAACAAATTTTCTCTTGAGAGTGTGTCATATTTGGAATCAGTGGCAATACAACTCAACTAGTAAAATTGGATAGGCTCCTAGCTACCATTTTATTTTTTAAATTGTTATTTCAACTGAACCCTGGTCTTCACACATGGGAGTGCCGAAATGCTGAGCTACACCCCTGGCCTAACTGTACCTAACATTTTAGATTAAGACGCTTTTCATGTACCTGACCCTGGACTCTTCAGGTCCTACTGCTTTTGTTTGGGGGTGTGTCCTAGATGCCATCTCTCCCCCTTTCAACAGCCGGGAACACCCTCTATTATCTAGCCTCCCATCATCAACAGACTCGGGGGTTAGAAATTTTGTTTGATGATAAAAACTATTAAAGACCCGAAGATAGTTTATATTTCAAAGGTCGCCTTTGGTGGGTGTTCACATAGGAACATTTGTAATTGCTGTAATCTTGTTTTCAGGGGAGTGGTGAGGGACTTGAGGCCACACCTGACTTTTCTCAGGTTTACTCCTGGCTTGGGGGGGGTCACTCCCGACGGTGCTTTGAGGACCCTCTGCATTGCTTGGGGTTGCACCAGGATGGACTGCATGCAAGTGCTCTCACCCCTAACGATCTCTTCCGCCCCAGTGTTGTCATCTTTTGTTTTTTTTTGGGTCACACCAAGCGATGCTCAAGGGTTATTCCTGGCTCTGCACTCAGAAATTACTCCTGGCGGTGCTCGGGGGACCATATGGGATGCCGGGGATCGAACCCAGGTCGGCCGTGTGCAAGGCAAATGCCCTACCCGCTGTGCTATCGCTCCGGCCCCGCAGTGTTGTCATCTTTAAAACAAGAGTTTAGGGGGCATATTTTAGCGATTAGGTGATTGTATCTGTGGGGTGTTTTAGGAATTCGTTCTTCGGTCGTGCTGTTGAGCGCTCCCGAATTATTAATCGCACCCCTAGAAGACATGAGGGGAGAGGAAAAGGTGCCCCGGAGGAGTCACCCTAGTCAGCAGCGCTTGAAATGAAGGGGAAATACTGGACAAACTGCCCCCAGGAGCACGTTTACAGTGTACCTTCCATGTGGTTCCCCGGCTCAGACCCAGTGTTCCTGCACAAGACTAATAGCTAAGGTTATGGTGGGTGGTGAGATAGTGCGCTGTGAGTCACAGCAGTTTCCGGAGAGCTGATAATGGATTTGTGTGTAGGTAGAGATCTGACTATACAGAAGCCACCACCACGACGTGGCCAGACAGCAAAAAAAAAAAAAAAGTGGCATTAATCAAGTGTGGTTGCTCACCTCTGCAAGCCTGAGGAAAGAAAGAAGCCCGGTGGCCTGCTAGCAAAGCCTGTGTGGCATGGCCGGGCCTTCCCTGCTGCTTTCCTGTGCATCTAGAGTGGACAAAGGCACCCGCAGCAGAAAGAGGCTTGAATGCACGCTGGCCACAGCGGGAGGTTAGATTTCCACTGTGGGCACAGTTTTCCTTTCAGTTCTCTGCGCTTGAAGAATGTCAGGGCTAAAAAAAAAGAATCTGAATTTTCTTGTGCTTCTTGATTATATCTTTGAGAACCAATGTTGTAGAGCCGATACGGGAAGTGAAGTTGTGGCAGACACAGGGAGGGAAATTAGTTGGTTCTTTCCCCCCTGCATGTGTCTAAATAATATAAGTTCTATGGAAGAAAGAAGCCTTCTTTCCTGGCAGGGGAAGTGCTCTCAGGCTGTAATGAGTGTGACATTGACGTTTGGCCAAGGTTCTTGGGGAAACACAAAATGATCCCAGTGTAGTAAGACTCCTTTCCTCGGCACTTATCTTTGGTAGCTGAGATAAGGCTAACAGAAACAGTTTCATTACTTTAGTTAAACACACACACACACACACACACACACATTAAATTGTAACAACAGACTTTTAAAAACATAGGCTAAGCTTAGTGTGACCTATACTTAAGAAAGAGTTTTATATAGGGCCAGGGAGGGGTTCGGTGGGCTGAATCAGGTGCTCTACATGCAGAATCCCCAGATTTGATCCCTGGCACTGCAGGGTCCCCTGAGCAGCAGCCTGAGTAGTCCTCAAGTATCACCAGATGTTGCCTCCCAAAAAAAAAAAAAGGCCAGAGACTGTACAGCGAGGAGGGCGTTTGCCTTGTACCCGGCTGACCTGGGTTAGATCACCGACATCCCATATGAGCACTGCCAGGCATAATTCTTGAGTGTATAACCAGGAATAACCCCTGAGCGTTGCCAGGTGTGGCCCAAAAAACAAAAAATAAAACAAGTTTGTCCATGGCATAATCTGCCAGTTCAGTTAGCAGGCTCACAGAATCATGTGACGATGCCTTAACCATTCCAGCATGTCTTCAACCCTAAGTGGCAGCCACTTCTCAATCCCAGGCCATTTTATGCCAAATGGTAGAATACTTTTCTGTGACTGGCACCTTTCACTAAGTACCAGACTTCGTCCATGTTGGGATATGATGCAACATCCTACTCCTTTTCACTGTCCAGCAGTGTTCTACTGCCTGGACATACCACACTGGCCTGCTTGTCAGCATAGATGTTCAGCTGGGTTGTTTCCACTCTGGCCGGGGATGAATGGTCAGAATCATACTGCGGTGAAGATTCCTATTTGTGCTTTTGGGTGGACATGGTTTGGCGTTTCTCTCGAGTATATAGCACTAGGAGTGGGGATGGCTGGCTGGTAAGCTGACTCTCTGTCTGTGCCTTTGACGCTGCCAAACTGTGTTCTAAAGTGACTGCACCATTTTATGTTCCCACCAGTAATGCCTGAAAGTTTCAGTTTCTCCATACTCTTGCCCACACCTGTCACTTCCTGCCTTTGATTATAGATGTGTCACTGGGGGTGAGGTGGCATCTCATCATAAGTTTGATTTGCATTTCCCCAATGTCTAATGATGCTGCGCATCCTATTTGAGACCTATTGGCCATTTTTTGGTTTTGTTTTTGGGCCATACCCAGTGATGCTCAGGACCTACTCATGGCTCTGTGTTCAGGGATCACTCCTGGTGGGGCTTGGGGAATTTTATGGAGTGCTGGGAATCAAACCTGGTTTGGTGGTGTGTGAAGCAAGCACCCTACCCGCTGTACTATTTCGCTAGCCCCTGTTGGTCATTTTTTGCATCTTTTGAGAGCTGTCTACCCGGATCCTTGATCCATGTTAAAATTGAACTATGCCTTTTTATTATTGACTGTATAATTTCTGTATATTTATATATATTAAATATATATTTATATATGTGCTTTATAATTTCTGTTATAAGTTTGGTGTTAGATATATGATTTATAGATATTTTCCAGTCTTCCCGTTGTCTTTTTCTTTTTTTCCTTTTTGGTTCACACCCAGCAATGCTCAAGAGTTATTCCTGGTTCTATACTCAGGAATTACTCCTAGCAGTGCTGGGGGACCATTTGGGATGCTAGGGATTGAACCTGGGTTGGCCATGAGCAAGGCAAACGCCCTCCCCACTGTACTGTTGCTCCTGCTCCCCCTCCTTCCGTTGTCTTTTTCACTCTTGTGATGTCCTCGTCATCTGAAGTACAAAAGCTTTTCTTCTTTTTCTTTTCTTTTCTTTTTTGGATTTAGTCCCACATCCAGCTGGTTCTGGGGCCACCTCCAACTCTGTGCTCAGGGATCATCAGTGATGCTTGGAGGGCCTGTGTGGTGCTAGGCATTGACCCTTGGCCTCCTGCATGCAATGTATGGCTCAGTCACTTGAGTTATTTTCCCTAACCTAAAAGCTTTTCACTTTGATGATGTCAAATTTATCAGTTTTTCTTTTATTTTGTTGCTTTTGCTTTTGGTATCTAAGAAAACATTATATATGGGGGCCGGGGCGATGGTACAGTGGATAGGGTGTTTACTTGCACATGTCCAACCTGTGTTCGATCCCTGGCATCCCATATGGTCCCCTGAGCACAGTCAGGAGTAATTCCTGAGTGCAGAGCCAAGAGTGACCCCTGAGCACTGACAGGTATGACCCAAGAATTGAAAAAAAAAATCCGAAACATTCTATAACCCAAGGTCCTGTGGATTCACCCTGACGTTTTTCCTTCAAAATGTTCTATAGCTTTCACTCTTAGACTTTTATGTCTATAATCTATTGGAATTAGTTCTTGCTTGCAGTGTTAAAAGTGGTTCAATTCCATTCCTCCACATATAGATATCCAGTCATTACAGCACTATTATTGAAAAGATTAAATGCTTTCTCCATTGGGTTTCTTCACACCATTGTTGAAATAAATTAAGTATAAGTGTGAATAGATATGTGGGTCTCTTTCCATTGATCTGTTCACGCTTTTAACTTCGAGCTGTACTATGCCACAGTCCTGATTAGTGTGTGTGAGTTTGACATTGATGAGTTTTTTTTTTCTCTTCATTTTTAAAATTGTGTAGGCAGTTCTGGGTCTCATGCACTTGTGTGTCTGTTCCCAATGGAGAGGGAATCTGTCCTGTTGCCCTGTGTAAGTGGGCTGGGAGGTTGATGAATTCCCTTCTGCTCCCAGTCATTGAATGTCTGTCTCTGCCACAAGTGCTGGGCTTTCCTCAAGTGTCTTTTCTAAAATAAATCACTTCTACACAATGACCACTTTCCCTTTCCTCCCTTGTCGTTGCAGAAATTGACTTGCACACCAAATGCGTGGTGGATGTAGATGCCAACAAGGTCATTCTCAGTCCAGTGAACACGAATCTTTCCAAAGGAGACGCCCGGTAAGTCTGGGGATACTGTGAGTGACCGGCCAGTGTCTTAAGACTGGAAGCAACAGCGGCTGCTAATGGAGTTGGAGTGAAGCAGCTCTTGGAGAAGCGCCTCTGTCATTTTGACGAGGCAGGGCCTGGGACAGGGGCGTGCTGTCTGGACGCTGGTGTGGGAGCAGAGAGAGAGCTCAGTCGATAAGGCAGCAGACAGTGGCTTCCTGACAGGAACAGCAGTGCTGGAGGTGGGGGAGGGGAGGTGACGGGTAGAAAGGAGGGGACGTGGAGGCTGGCGTTATTGTCAGCTGGGCAGCCCGTGGCCTCAGCAGAGCCAACATGCCAGTCAGTCAGAGCCCATTTCTAGTGAATCTCAGGTGTCCTCGCAGTACGTATCTCTCTGTGTTTAGCGTCCACCGAACGCCGTGGGGTTTAAGGTCTGCCTCGGGAAGGGGCTGCCAGTTGGAGAAGGAATGTCTCAAGAGCATCTCTCAACGAAGGAAGGAACAGGAGGATAGAGAGAAAGTGAAATTGAGAAAGGAGGAAGAAATGATTCATTTTTTTCCTCACTAAGCACAGGAAAATTGATTTGATCAATTGATCAATAAGCTGGGACCAGTTCGCAGAAGACACTGAAAGTTGGTGAGGATATTTGCTCTGCATTCTGAGGGTGAAAGGTCACCCTTGTCAGATTCTGACTATTCGAATGAGCGTGGTCGATGAGGTGTTTGATTGGCATGTAGGGACCAGTGGAGGTGGAGAGAGACTGGCCTTTGCTGAGAGCAGCTGAAACAGAGATAGTTTTGTCCAGCCCTGGACGTGGAGGGTATGTGTCAGAGAACCGGGCTCACCTTGGTGTCCTGCTTAGGCCAGATTCTTGCTTGTGCTGGTGGAGGGAGCATCTCACGAGGAACTATGCAGGCACAGCCGCCCACGGTGCTCTCTGGAGCAGGCAGAAGTGAGTGGGAAGGAGTCCTGGACCCCTAGCCAGAAATCTGAGCTTTATTCTCACACACCATGGCTAACGTAACTGGTTATTTCTGACTGGTGCCTGTATGATGGCTACCTGACCTGGTTTTTAGAGGGTATTCTGGTGAACAAATGAGCAGCTGTTAGAGTGCTTTATGAAGTGTTCTGGAAAACCTTGTGCTTCTTACTATGCATATGGAGATATATCTGAAGCATCTCTCAGATACAGTACCATTAGAGAGACTGTTCTTAGGGGGTGAAGGGTATAGATAGATCAGAAATGAGGGTGGGTTTTGAGCCTGAGAAGTAAATGATGAATCATCCTGCATATTAAATGAAAGCATTAATTTGGGGGCTGTTTGTTGCTCTGAGAACTTCCCATCCAGAGACACTCACTTCCTTTGGGAATCGGAGAACTCTGACTTGGAGGCAGCCTCCGGTGGCCAGAGGGAGGCTTTTATCCTCAGGCTGGCTGGCTTCCAACTCTGCCATTGCTCCTGGCTCGTTGTGGCTACCAACCTGTGTCCTTTAGAAGGTGATTTCATTTTCTGTTGCTGTGTAATAGATGGCCTCAAAAATTCAGTGGCTGGACAGTAGTAGCCACTCATCCTTTCTTGTTCCCGTGGACCAGGAGGCAGGGAGGGCCCAGCGGTGTGGCCTGCTGTCTGCTTCACCAGTCCGAGGCCCAGTTGGCCTGGGAAGATGTTGCTGGGGCTGTTGGCAGAGCTCTGCAGCAGGTTCCATGGTTGCAATGCCCCAAGAGAGTGGGAAGAATCGGCAGAAGCAGCACTCCCTTCTGCACCCCAAACTTAAGTTTTTTTTTATTTTATAAAAGTAGTTCACAATATTTGATTACATTTAGTATTCAAACACCAATCCCACCACCATATTTCAGGTGTTTCCATCCCAAACCCCAATCCCTGCCCCAAAGCAGAACCGAAATAATACATTTTGTATTGTTTGTTATGAAAGACTACAGAAAATGCTGCAAAAAAAGTATTCTTAGAGGAAAGAGTGTGAACATTGTTGTATTTCACACAGGGAACCATTAAGTCCTTCTATAAGAAGATCAGTAACATGTTGTTAAAGGTTGAGCCTCGTGTGCTTTTTATATGATTATCTGTAAAAGAAAAATGTATATTTTCCCTTTAAGATTTGTTGCTTCCTACTTTGAACACTGTCAAATTTGTTGCCATAATCTTGGAGCATGGGTAGGATGTGTGGTTTGAAGTATGACATGGCCACAAATGTGGCTGAGTGATCCAGGAATGGATTCACTTGTGGGCTGCACCCCAAACTTGGGAGTCACAGAGTCCCCCTGTGCTGGCTAAAGCCTGGTGACCTGCTGCTGGGGTTGTGGCCCTTTCCCTGTGGGAGGCAGAGTCCCCATAAGAGGTGTGGTTCATGGCTGCCTTTTGGAAAATACAGTTACACCCCAGAGTGGCTGCCTGAAATGAAATGAACACATCAAAGCTAAAGGTACTTCTCTTTCCCTTGCAGACCTTCCAGTATAGGAATTCAAACTAAAGTTAATGGTGCTTCCTGGCTCCATAGAATATCCTGGCTGGCTCTTTCTTTCATATGGGCACACCTGGCTGTGCCGAGGGGCTCCTCCTGGGTCTGTGCCCAGGTGTCTCTCCTAGCAGTGTTTGGGAGACCATATCCACTGCCAGGGAGTGAGCCTGGCCCCCGGCATGCAAAACATGCTAAGGATGGTTTCAGTTCATGATCTCGCTTGCCGACCCCTGCCAATGGGACTTTGCTCAGTGTGATAGAGCCGGGCATGAGGCTCTGTAACCAACTGCAGCCCTTGGATGTGAGAGACCTGCTTCCATTCGAGGTAGCACAATGGAGGAAAGTGCTAGCTAATGGAGATTTATTATTTATTTATTTATTGCCTTTTGGTTTTGGGGGCCAGACCAGCAATGCTCAGGACTGACTCTTGGCTCTGGACTCAGGAACGACTCCTGGTGGTGCTCGGGGTGGGGGTGGGGGAACCATACGGGATAAGGGGATCAAACCCAGTCCAGCTGCATGCAAGGTCTGCACCCTCCCCACTGTCCTATCTCTCTGCCCCCTCTGATAAAAAATGTAGAAGGTCAGTATCCAGCATGGATGGCACGTATTGGTTTTTGGTGAAATGAAGTTGAGAAGAACAGCTTTGTTCAAAGAACAGCATTCTAATGAAGTACGTTTTATCCATACAAGAACGTTTACATAGGTGGGTGAATTTTCACAGGTTGTACATGTTCCTTTAATCGGTTACCCAGATAGAGACCACCATGTAACAAGATCAAGGAAACGTTCACTGAACATTCAAGGCATATTTATATTTTCTACATGAAAATAGAAACTATGAATGTTGAAATGTAACTGTCTAGTGTGCTAAGGTTTTACTAAATTTGAGGTAAAAAGAGAAGGAAAAGACAATTTGAAAGCTGTTTTATGTGATATGAAGTTAATTACAGTGTAGTTGTAGAATGACTAATCCTTCAAGTTAGGGTTTTACGGGAGTCGTGTTTGTACCTAGAGAGCGTGTGGGGTGGTAGGCAGTATGCACCTTTGGTGTGAGGGCCTGGCTGACCCCTGGTACACCAAAGCAGAACAAAGCAGAAAGGCCCAAATGATGATTTGTCCTTTAACAAGTGTTATTTTTTTATTACTGTAAAATAAAAATTCTTTTATTTTATTACAGGGCTCTGAGTAAATGGTTTATGTGCACTCAAGTCAGTATGCTTTTGAAAATGTCTACTATTTTCTGATTAATTTTGGTTTACCCTCTGAACATTTCACAATTTGATGTTTGTGCTTATTAAAATTAAAAGAAGCCATCATTAAATGAGTAGGTGAACCATTTCCAGCTTAACAGCTTAATCATGCAGACTTGGGCAACTTCCTGGTTGTTGTTCTTGTTTGGTTTTTGGGGGGTGCCACGCCTGGCGGTGCTCTGGAGATACTCTTGGCACTGTGCTCCGAGCTTGCTCCCAGTGGCCATGTAGAGCAGGGAATGGAAGTAGGGCCAGACACCTGTAGGGCCAGGTCTTGAATGCCCCAATCATCTCCCCAGTCCTGTCTGGTTTTGAGCCGTACCTCAATGCTTCTTACAGGGAGAGTTGCTCGGGGAGTCACTTCCAATGGTGCATGGTGCCGTATGGTGGCAGGACTTCTGCCTACACAAAAGCACTCTTGGCTTTTGAACTAGCTCATAGTGTATGGAATTTCACAAGGGTTTTGAAGAAAGAGAGGTTTAAAATTCAGAAAATTGCTAGAGGGAGGCAGCTCTGTGAGGCCCCCTCTGGGGCCAGCAGTGCTCCCTGGTGTCTGCCTGGCCACTTAACGTGTAGCAAGTTTACCCAGGATCCCTTTTTTCTCAGGTTTTGGGTTTTCTTTTGGATTTTTGGGCAACACCATCCATGCTCCTGGGCTCCTCCTGGCTCTGAGCTCAGGCATCGTGACTGGACTTCCTCAGGGAACCCTATGGGACCCTGTGCAAGACAAACGCCCTACCCCTGTACTATTTCTCCAGCCCCTGTTGCAGTCCATGGTATGCTAAGTGAGCACTAGAATATGTTATCAGGGAAGTAAAATCTTTTTTAAGCCAAAAAAAAATTTTTTTTGATACAACCAGTGGTACTCAGGGGTTACTCCTGGAGGTGCTCTGGGAACCATATGCAGTGCAGGGGGTTGTAGTGGGGTTGGCCGCATTCAAGGCAGGTGCCATAACCTCTACTAACTCTCTGGTTCTCAACATATTCTTAATTCAGTATTCGAATACACATCAACGTAACTACCAAGAGATCTGTTTCTGGGGACCGGGGTCGTAGGCTGGCCACAGAGTACTTGCTTGCATGTGTATGGCCTGGATTCGACCCCTAGAACCACATGGCTTCCTGAGCGCTGCCAGGAGTGGCTCTTTTTTTTTTTTTAATTTTCAGTTTTGCAAAATTATGAACCTTCATTTTTCTAGTTTGTCTAAAATGGATGCAGGCATCTTTTAAGAACTCACATTCCATCTGTTAGAGAAATGGGATCTCTAATTTTATGATGAA